ATGAAGACAATTTTCATCTAGCGGGGCGGGGGCAGATTTACTATTACCCGCCCCCATGGGGCCCCAATGCCATCCCTACACACCACACTTTAATTGCACACATTTTAATTTAATTATATTTAATTATACAAATTTATTTAATTATTCTAATATATATAAAAATATATATAAAGCCATGGTAGGACTTGAACCTATGACCTGGAACTTGTAGTTCTTATACACAATCACTCAAACCAATGAACCATTTTATTTTATGTCTATAGCATCATGCAAATTTATAATAAGTTGTTTTTCGTAGGTAATAATAAAATATTATAAATATTTATAATATATAATTAGATAGCACATATATATATATATATTGTGAAAATATTGTATTTATTCCAAAATTTTAATTACTATTTTAAGAAGAGTATACTAATAATAATATTGAGAATATTGTTATCTAAAAATTAAGACATTACAATGATGATTCATTTATGAGTATAACAATTACTGCATTTCAAGAAAAGTCACCAATTAAAATGAATTTTACATATGTACATGGGGTTTCATCATATTAAGAGTGTTTGGTGATACCAACTTCTTCTCCTTGAATTCCAAAATTATTGGTTGAATTTCATAACACCCATAAGGAGGGCATTCAGGTTATTATAGAACTTATAGGCGATTGGTTCAACATTTATATTGGATAGGAGTGAAGAAAATTGTGTAGCATTATGTCCAAAAGTGTGATGTTTGTGAAAGTTACAAATACACTACATTATTTCCAGCTGGTTTGCTATAATCACTAGAAATTGTTATATGGGATGATGTGTTCATGGATTTTATCTTGGGGTTACTTATATCGAAAGGGTTTAAAGTCTTTTTAGTAGTGGTAGACAAACTTTCCAAATATGCTCATTTTGTTTCCTTGAAGCATCCATATGCCTTAAAAAAGGTGGTAAAGTTGTTTGTGAAGGAAGAAATACGACTTCATGGCATCACTAAATTAATTGTTAATGATTGGACCTTGTTTTTATGAGCCATTTATGGGTTGAATTGTTTAAGTTTATGACACCAAACTCAAAATGAGTTCCTTCTACCATCCTTATACAAATGGTTAAACATAGGTTATTAATTGCTATTTGGAAACATATCTTTGTTGTTTTGTATGGGGCAACCTCAAGATTGGTCATTTTGGTTACCTTGGGATGAACTATGTTATAACTCCAATTGTCATGTTTCTATTAATTCTACTCCCTTTAAAATTGTTTATGGGAGAAATCCACCAACCATACTTAGTTTCTTACCTAATGAAGCCAGGGTGGAAGCAATGGTTTACATTTTGGTAAATCAAGATGAAGCTTTAAGACAATTAAGGTATCATTTGTCTTAAGCTCAAGAAAGCGTGAAAAGATGGATTGATCGACATAGGCGTGATATTAAGTTTCAAGTGGGGGACAAGTTTATCTTAAGTTGTGACCTCATAAGCAATAATCAGTAGCTCGAAAAATAAATCAAAAGCTTTCAACTCAATTTATGGTCCCTTCATAATGGTCAAAAGGGTGGGCCTAGTAGCAATCAATTAGCTATTCCATTTTCTTTAAAGATTCATTTAACATTTCATGTTTCTAAGTTGAAGAAAGTTGTTGGTGACCAAATTGTTGAGCCTTCTTTACCTTTGAGATTGAAGGGGAAAATACAGTCCAATTGAACTAGAGGTGATGTTAGCATTTCGATCTTGATTGTAGAATGGTGTAACAACGACCCAATTGTTGATCAAATGGAAAGGAAGAGAAACTAAAGAAGCTATGTGAGAGGAATAATTTGATATTCACAATTAGTTTCCCTTGTTCAATCTTAAGAAAAATACCATTTCCCAAGGGGTGGTTAGTGATGAGACCCTTAGGTCCAATAATTCTAAGGATAAGGAAATATTGCCAATTCAATAGGTGAACCATGAGATTAAAGGGTTAAAAGTATATTCTGGGAGGGGAAAAGGCGGGACACATGGCAAAGGATCCACATGGTAGTTAGTTATGATGATTGGGCAAGGTGTAGGACCTATGATGGATAGGAAGAGAAAATAATTTGCAATAGAGAGAGAAGAGGGGTAGTGGAATGGAGAGAAAACCACAATCTTTGAGAATTTAGTGTGAGGCTTGGGTAAGGAACTAATGGTTCCTTGATTTTTTTTTTAATTTTCCTTTTATCTTTTCAATACATGGATGCTAATATTCATGCTTCAACAGATTTTCAATTAATTATGAAGATTGTGAATTAGTGTTATTATTGTTTGATTGTTTTTATTAGGTTTTGTGTCATCTTTGAAAACCTATTGTTGACCTTCATGGGGTTAGTATCAAAATTCACTCTTGTATTGCCCGCGTGAACTGAATAGTAACACCATCCACTTTAGTGCTTTGCGACTTGAAGGAGAAGCTTGTTCATCCTTCAACCTAGGAGAAGTAAATCATAGAAAGTAGCAAAATACGCTTCAAAGTAAAAGCCTAAATCTTTAATGTGGTTCTTGTGTAACGTTTGATTCGTGAAAAAGATATTATTTTGCTCATATGTTTTTTTGAAAAACATTTTTAAAATTTATATCCTACGAAATTCCAATATAATAATAATAATAAAATTAAATTAATACAATAATATAAATTTCTATATATAGATATAAATATCATATTTATTAATATTAATTATATTTATCAATATTAGTTTTACTGATATCCTTATTTAACGATTATTATTATTATTATTATTATTATTATTATTATTATTATTATTATTATTATTGATCACAAGTAGTTACCAAATATTAAATAAAAGCATTTAATTTAAGTTAAATGTGATTTCTAAAATGTAAGAATTTTTCTTATAATCATATTGTTCATATACGTTTCAACAATGATTAATTTTTATCTAAAAATTGGACTAATTATTTTTAATATGATGTCTCCTTTTAATAATATATTTTTATTCTAAAAATTCGAATAATCCAATGCATTGCTTAAGAACAACAAGGCTGATATTACTTGCACAAATAAAATGTAACAAGTTGAACGCTTATAATACTTTATAATCAGATTATTATAAAAATATTCATACTTTAATTATATATATATATATATATATATTAAAAAAAAAACTAGGTGCCATTACTTGAAACCACTCTAAAAACATGTTTGAAAATTATTTTCCATTGCAAACGCTATAACTCGCATTCTTGAGTCTTGACAAAACTTTGATCGAGTCCATTAAACATGAATTTTCATTGCATGCAAAAATGGCACTCCCTCGGTCTCTCCATTCTATATTTAATATTTATCGATGTTTTATTTATTTATTTTTCTTTTTAAATTAATGATGTTTTAAAAACTTGAAGTATTGTTACTTAGTTTTCTTTAATTTTATGATTTAACAATTATTGTAACGATAATGATCAAAAGTAGATATTGAACAAGAATATTTTATATCAAATATAACAATTTATATTTCCATTAAATACTTCTTCATCTGTTTATATTAGTTATAAATAGGAAATAAAGATAATAAGAAATAGAAGAATAAGGCCAAAACTAAAATAATTGCATTAAAGAACCCTTACATGATAGAACTATAGAAGCCAAAAACACCAAAATAAGAAGGCAATTAAAGAAGTTGGTATATGAGGACACGAAACTTCTGAATTTGGAGCCGGATATTAAAGGGGTAGATGTAGAATCATGGGTAGGTTCGCATGCACCAATTTTTATTTATTTTTACTTTTCTCCTACCAATTTTTTTATTTATAAATATTTACTTTTTTCATATATCATTTCTATTTTATTTTTCCCCTTATCTCTTTTCCATCTTTATTTTGTTTTCCACACTAATTGTTACTTTCTTTTCTTATTGTTTCCCATTCTTATCTCTTTGTTCTTTTTACTACGATCCACTTAATTTGAGGTATATAAATATCATTATCATTAATATAGATTTTAAAATAATTAATATAAAAACTTATTTTATAATTATTTTTATATAAGATTAAAAATTTTATAAAAAATTAATTTTATTCAAACTAAGTAAAATTATTATAAATAATAAAATTATTACATAAATGATGAAACTCTTTCTTAAAATATTTGTTAAAATTTATAACTACATATTTACAATTTGAATTTTCTTGATACATTAAAATTGAATTCGGTATAAAATAATTTACCATTATTCACACACTTTTTTAATCAATTACCACTAAGTATGTGATCAATTAATAACCGATTATCTCACTTTAATTAATAATCTCAAGTGTATGTAACTATCTTAAATATTTAGAATGAGAATTTTATTATTTATGATGATCATATCTAACTCAAACAAGATTATCATTAATAAAAGTTGTATATGATTTATACAAAAATAAAATATATGTAATAAAATGAGTAAAGTCTCGTATGGAATTATGTTCGAGTCAACAAAATCATTATATATACTAAAACTATTTAACTATTTAACACAATCACATACTTTTTCCTTTTGAACAAGTCATATTCATATACTTAATACTCAAATTCAATTTTTTTTACTAATAAAATAAGAAATAAATAAAAAAACACTTTATAATTATTAAACAAATAGTCAATAACATGTCAACTAATTGAGGTCTAACTATAAAATGAAGGAGTGTCGAATTTGTTTGATAAATAACATCAGCTGGAACCAAATTCATGTAATATTTATGTTGATGACAATTTAAAATCTTTGAATTTTATTTTCATATACATTAGTAACACAATATTAAAAACTAACAATTAAGAAGTAATTTAAAAAATATGAATTTTGAAAATTTTGATTAAATAAAAGAAATATTATAATAATTGTAATAGTAATGTGTTGAATTGGTGCAGTAAGTAATAATTCCACCGACGAAGAGTGTGGGTGGCTGGATTAGAGGGACAGCACGTCTACCTGGGTGGGACCCACCTTCATGACAGACATAACACGAACACACATCTCTCTCTCTCTCTCTCTCTCTCTCTGTTATTACTTCTTACTTCTCTCTCTCTCGCAGACACCAAGCGCACTCGATTCACATCGCCAAGCGGCGGTGGCAGATAGAGAGAGAGATGATGTCCTCCTCCGGCGCCGGCAGGTACATGGCTTTCCCGCCCTCCCCCTCAGCTCCTCCCTCTCCCCACCTCTCCGCCCTTCGCTCCACCGCTCTCGCCGACCCCGACAAGTATACACATATTCTCTCTCTCTCTCTCTCTCTCTCTTTCTTCGATTCGATTCGATCTTTGCTTTAACTTCCCTTTTATGCCTTCAATTATTCTTTCACTCGGCTGCTACGTCTCAACTCATTCACTGCTTTCCACTCAAGGGAGATAGGGTTTTATTTTTAATCTTTTGTTCTTTTACTAGTCAAAGGGGTCACTCTCACTCTGTTCACTTTAATTTTTTTTTTTTTTTTTGCTGTTTGGTTGGATTTCGTGCTGGATTTACTTGACGGTTGATTTTCGTGACTTGATCTGCCACTTCACTGAGCTTGATCGGGAGAACAGATCCTTGATGGCACTGGATTGATGAGAATGGAAAATGTGACGGATGATGGATTTGATTTCGTTCTTGTTAATCTAGGGGTGGATGGATTGAGTTTGGTTTCGGTTTGTTGCGTCATGGATTTTGTCTAGATTGTTGTTTTGTTTGGGTTCATTTGGTCTTTGATTGTTTCTATGCAGCTTGATCTTTGTCGGAAATAAGTTGATCTTGTTGTAGATCATGGTAGTTATGTGTTGAAGCGCCGTCTGTGTTGTTTTTGTTGATCTTTGTGTTCATGATCTTTTTTAATTCATGCTTTATTACTAAGCTAGAATAATTGACATGGATCCTTTGTCCTTGATAATTTTATTGTATTCTTTGTTTTCTTTTGTGATTAGTAATGGTTACAGTGCCCCATTCTGATTGTGGGGTTTGTTGCTCTGATTATCAGATATCTAAGCGAGTTATTGGGAGAACGTAACAAGCTTAGTCCCTTCATGGCTGTGCTTCCCCACTGCTATCGATTGTTAAACCAAGGTTAGATTCGTTTCTCAAACTAGTGGTGAAAATAAGCTTCAAGTCATCCGTACCGCATCTCACCCTGTGCTTTAGTTATATGTATGATAAAATCAGTTTGTTTTTTCCTAGTCCCTAGTTTTCTAGGGATGTCAAAGCATTTAAGAAGCTATTTAGCTTAACAGTCACCTGTTAACTTTGGCACAAGTCAGAACTCATATATATATATATATATATATATATGATGTTTTTGGTTTGCTGATGCTCATATTTTTTCCATGATTAAATTGTTTATGTTCAATCCAAGATAGTTTATGGGGCTCAACACCTTTGCTTAAAGAGCAGATTGAAACAAGTTTGTTCTAATAAATAAATTCAATACTTTTCATTTTAAATGTTACAGAACTGTGTCAATTTCATGGAACTGTAATAATGATTGAATATTGATTATCTGCCTTAATGTTTTGTAGCCCCAAGGAAATTTGGGCTATGAGTATTAATTTATTTGTTGGACTTATGTTGCATGTAAGGATGCATAAAGTATAATTTATTCTGCATAACACCCATTTTAGTCAAGTATCTGTCAATTCGTTTTCAACGTGAATTGTGTGATTATATTCAAAGATATGAAATTTTTTTTTGGTAGATTCATACTATAACTTATATATTCTATTTATAAGTGAATTTAGCTTCTTACTTCTATAATTATAAGTTGATAAGTTGATTTAACATATGTAATTATTATAAAATGGGAAATATTGATAGTTGCCATATAATTTTAAGCTTATATTAGGGAATTAATGACACTAAGTGTATATAATGTACTGTCTGTGTATAGCTTCAGAGTTCAAACATGGTATTAGAGATCCTGATTTGCGAGTCTCTATTTCTGCTTCATTGGACTTCATTGCTGATTTGTTTGGAGAACCCAGCTCTTGTAGTGGGCCAACCCTGGTCGTCAACATAACTTCCTTTCTCCATTTGCACACCTTCATTGTCTGTCCTGTCCTTTCTGTGGATCTGGAAAAATAAGCCATGCCACCCTGAAACTGCCCAAGAAAATGTAGGGCTTTAAGTTTTGGGTGTAGCCTGCAAAACCCAGTAAAAGCCTGAAAAACCATCTTTTATAGGGTTTGAGCTTAATTTTTTAAATGCCACAACTGATTACAGGCTTTTTAATTGCCCAGATTCAATTTGAACCTCTAAAATATCTCCAGAACTTGTCCTCATACTGCATAACCTCCAGACCGGTCACCCCCTGCCTGAAGCCCTGTTGCTGGAGATCTCTGCCTTCTTATGCCTCCTCCCCTGCTGGGGTATGAACTTCACATACCATCTTCCCAGACACCATTCAACATTGTGCGTATCCCATTTTATTTGTCGGCATCCCTCTTTGTTTTGGTGGGTCATAGCCTGAGCTTCATGCCTGCACCTTTTGTGGTGGTTCCTTATTAAATGCAAAGTCTCTCTCATGCACAAACCCTAAGCCTTTGTTTGGAAATTGAGAGGGAAGAAAATAGAGAGAAGAGAAAAGAAAGAGCTTAGTAGGATGTGGTGGTGAGGAAGATTTGGAGGCGGCAGAGACAAAGGAAGGTGAGCTGGCAGATTCCATGAATGGTGCCTGTGATTGTGGTGGATGATTGTTATGGCATTTGAGCATGACTGTGATGAGAGGTTGAGACCTATGGGCTGATGTGAAACTTTTGAAGAAGCAGAAACTCAAAAGAAACAGAGAGATCATGACAGTGACTGCAAACATTTCTGGTGCCCAGTTTGGTTTTGGCTTAAGCATCTCAGATGCCATCCTTTTTCGCTTTGATATCAATGATTTGGTCTTTATTCTCCAATGAGTTGTTGAGTCCTTTCATTTTGATCTTTGTCACCCAATTTGTTAAAAGCACCATCATGTCACTTTCCTCTCCAGTTCTAATAAATAGTGATACCCTTTTTTGATCTTATTCAGCCTGGTGTTTTGTGTCCAGCTACTATTTCTAGTTATAAATGGTCAGTTTCTTTCATTGAAGACTGTATTTGTGTAACTAAGCTTTTCTTGCTGAAAGATAAATCGGAAGTATATCAATTGTTTGTCCAGTTTTACCTTATGGTTTAGGCGCAGTATGGGAAGCCACTCAAGTGTTTATGATCAGTTGAAGTCTAAAGTTTTTCTGTTGACTGTTAAAGTTAATCTAAGAGCTGAATATTACATGCCAACTAATTGTGCGAGCCCACAATTTTCACTTGGATGGACCATTAGCGGTAGACTTGAACTAACCTGTGCTGATTTATATATTAAAATCTGTAAATGTATAGTATGCTCACAGTACTACAAAAGTACCCAGGTAATATAGAAAAGGATAAATGTACATATTTTCATGTTGTAGTAGAAAACTACACTGAACTGTGAATAGTATTATACATGTACTTATTTGTACATATTTATTCATTTATTAATTTTTGCATTTGTTGATAAACCTTTTTAAGTTAGGTGAGATTGTTGGATGTAAGATTAAGAATGTAGTATACATAGGAAGCAATGATACAAAAGAGGTAATGTGAAGGACTTAACAAAAACGTTCAGGTTAATACTTATGAGGTCCACTGTTATTTGACTTTTAACTATAATCACCATTTTTCTTTTCAATTTTTTAATGGGGCAAATTCCTGTTTCTTTTGGTTTGGGGATGGGTTTGGATGAGTATTAAGCCCCGATACAATTAGGGGATCTTGAAGGTGAATTAGAGAAAGAACAGAAGAAAAAAATAATTAATCAATTGACTAGGTAGTCAGGCAGAACTGGCATAGGGTTTGACAGTTGAGGGTGGGGACAGTTAATAGTTTGGGGATATCTTGTGCAAGGGATTTGTGTTGTTGTACTAAGCCTAGTCATAGGTATTGAAAGGGACCACCCTGGTGAAGGAGTTATCTCCTCGCACTTCCTTTTTTTTTTTTCTAAAACAAAGATATCTTTCTCGAGTTCCTCCTCTGTATCCTTCTCTTCTTGATCTATTATTACTGTATTTCTTCTCCCGTGAGGTGTTGTTGCTAGAATTGCCACAGATGGTTTTTTAGCTGTTAGAGAGACATGTGTTAACTCGTAGTTGCCCTCATATGGCAGTGGAAACTGCGATACCATCTGCAACAGAATGTTATTAGTTGGAAAGGGTAAAGATTTTAAGTGGGATAACATTCAAACTGGGAACTCTAGGTTGAGAACCCTTTAAAGCTTCCAATTTGATTTCTTGGTTTAATTAATGAAAAGACCACTTATTTGCCCCTGATGGCCTTTTAAAATGCCTGTAGCACAATTCGTATCCTTACTATTAAACTCACTAGGCTTAGTTTTATGGAAGTCACACGACTTTCAAATTGGCTTTTAAGCATAACTAGTGGCATGAAATCCGTGTTGTAATCCATGCACATTTTACTTGAACCCTTAGTTGTTTATGACATGAATATCCTAAGAGTGTGTTTGGATGAAGAATTTTAATGGAGTAATTCAATTTTTATTTTTGAATAATTTCAAATGTTTTGAGGTGAGATGCATTGTTTGGATGGAGAGTTTTCAAAGAATTTGAAATTCAAGCATTTGCAAAATTCCTAAAAAATGTAGAATTTCAAATTTTCCCAAAAAAATAAGAATTTGAAAATTTTCATTTTTTTTTAATTTCACCTATATATCTTTTATCTCTCTATCCTCTCTCTCTCCTATCTCTAGTCTTCCCTTTTGCTTCTCTCTCTTCCGTTTTGTCTGTTCTCTTCCCTAATTTCTTTCTTTCTTCTCTCTCTCTAACTTTTCTCTCTTTTCTTTCTCCTATCCCTCTTCCTTCTCAGTTCTGCCCCCCTCTCCCTCTTTCTTTTCTATCTTCTCTCCTCTTTCTTCTCTCTCTTTTTTCTCCGACCCCCCTCTCATCTCTTTCATAGTCAACATAAAAAATATCAATAGTTTTTGTTTAATTATTGAATATTCAAGATATTTTTTAAATTATTAAATATTACCTAATATTAATTTTTAAAAATTACTAATATATAAAAATTGGCTAATATTTATTTTTATAAACTTATCGTAAAAATTTCAATATATATGTAAAATCAATTTTACCTATGGTGGAAATCAAATTTCTCTATCCAAGCTTAGAATTTAAAATTTAAGAAATTTGAATTGACTTGTCCAAACAAAACATTTAAAGAATGATGGAAATTGAAATCAAAGTAATTCAAATTTTAAGAATTTCAAATTCCTTGAATTTCTAAAATTCCTTATCCAAACACACCACATTCAAAGCAAATAAAAAGGCACATTCTTCTTGAGTTATTCAATAGGTGCAGGAGTTGAGGCTCTTAAACATCTTGGCTAGCATTCTCATTCGTCTTATAACAAATGATTCCTTTGCTATTATTATGAGTATGTTTGGATAAAGGGGATTTGAGGAAAAAGTAGAATGATTTGAGAAAATATTCTCTGTTGGGAGTTTTTAAAATGTCCACAGGAAACTGAGAGATTATCATGTAACCTTACAAAGTGGTCACATGTTAATTTATATGAACATTTTAGAGTTCCTTTAACTTTGAGAATTTTAAACATCCACAAAAGGAAGAAGATTTATTACTTAACCTCAAATTTCTTTCCTGTCTTTCCCCTTCATTTCATCCTCTTCTTTTTCTTCAGCTCCCTAATGAACCCAAATTGGATCATATGTTTATAATGTGCTTTGTTAATTGACAAATGATTTTTTTATTAAATACTAAATAGTTGAGTGTGAAAGGTGTGTTTCTGGAGTTGATTTGTTAATTGTTAAGGAATTGACAAAATTAGATGCCACTGCTCTTCTGCTTATCTTAATGGGATATAGAGGGTTCAATTATTTTGGTTTTGGTAGAGTTTAGTTTGTCTGTATAGGTTATTGGATCTGACTTTTTATTAATTATTGCTTTTCTTTTGAGAAAGCAGCAAAAGAATTTTGAGCTGGTATGTTATTGCTGCTTTATGTTATTCTAATAATATGTGCTTACAAGATAATTGTTTAAACTCTTGAAATGACTTTATGTAAAAACAAATCCTTAGATATCATTCAGTTTTTAAAAGATGTTTTGAAATCATATTTTTACATTGGAAATACCTGTTTCAATGGTTTAGTAAATGACTTTGAAAGGTTTTTCTATTTTTGTGTATAATATCATTTTCTTTAAATATTAAATGACAATTGACTGCATATTTCCTCCCTTACCATTCAGAGTACTACCATAAAAAGCTGGAACATATCTCATAAGAATAGCATTAGTTTTTACTGACTCAGCAAACATCCGTGTTGCATCGATTATGTAGTGACTGCTAACATGTTAACAAATGCTGACTGGTACATCTTATTCTTGAAAATTGACATTTTTGGAGCAGAAATTTTGCGTGTAACCACGCTGTTGGGGAATGCATCAGTTTTAGGTCAAAGTGGGCTTGAACATGCTAGCCCCCTGGCTACCGGAGGAATTTTTTCAAATGGAGGTGCCGATGTGGACGGATGGGCATCACGATTTCAATCAGAAGTATGGATACTAACCATTAACATAACTTCATTAATTCATTTCCATCTAATTTTTTTATTTTAGAAGTATTTCTGACACAATTCTACATCTCATGCTAACTCATGACATTTGTTCTAGTGATTGTAGTTCTAATTGTTCGTGACAGGTAGTGCAAAGCTAACATCAGGCTCTGACAATTATTCTATAGCTTAGCTTCTGTTTCTATAATCCTGCTAGTGGATCTCATCTTTTTGTATGAAGATAAATCATATGTCAATACTTAACTGCCTTTACAATTTTCTGCAAGATCACAGATGTGATGAATGGTGTCAGCTGGATAAATCTAAGTGTAATTAACATGAATTATGGTACAATGCTAACTTTAGCCATTTAAAGGAAAGCGTAACTGTAAGTTTTATGTGGTTTAAGGAATTAACTTATTAGTTAAGTTGCCAAAATGGCTTGTTAGTTATCCTAACAGTTTTATAGTTTGAGTTTAGCTGTAATTCCATGTTTATTTAACACATCATTTTCTGACACGCTGATCCTCCTTGATTGCCAGTCAGGACATATTTGAACATTTTTGTCATTATGTATGTCATGGTTGTTGATAATTTTTTGCATGAGTTTATTTTTCGATATATGTTTTGAACTTATTTTGAATTTTGAGCAGCTAGTGTAGTCCCTTATGGTGATCTCTTGGTGGCCTCTGATACAGCAGTAATTTCATCTGCATGCCAGTAAACAGACCACCATATCTCTTGTTTGTTGTAATTGACATTGGAATTAAAACATGCAGAGGCCAGGCTTATTACAGTCCTCATCAACACAAAATTGGCTGAGTCCACAAGGAAGCTCATCTGGTCTTATTGTTAAAAAGACGGTCAGAGTAGATATACCTGTGGACACATATCCTAATGTATGGAGGATCTTATCTCTGCCCCAATATATATAAAAAATTTCTTCATAGAAAGATCTACTGATGACTTTAATTTATTGCAGTATAACTTTGTTGGTCGTCTCCTAGGCCCTCGAGGAAATTCTCTAAAGCGTGTAGAAGCAAGTACCGAGTGTCGTGTCTTGATCAGGGGCCGAGGTAGCATTAAAGATCCAACCAGGGTAAGAATAAATATTTCATTATTTGTAGCAAGTCTAACAATCATCTGTACTTGGATAAAATTACTGCACTGTGATGTTGAAAATTTGAAATCCATTGAGGAGATATATATATCATGTCATAAAATACTAATAGCAAATCACTTTACCCCAACATCTGGTTAATATATTCTTATTTATTTTATCCAAGGATGTGACCTTTTTCAGCGTATTATCATGTTTCATTGATCTTAATTTTAATATCGGTACAGCACCCTGTACTGTCTTATTGAACATGTGGTAAATGCTTGCAGTTTTTATTTTTATTTTTTTATGCTCTGGTGTCCTACTACCGTTGTAAACTCATTGTTTATGTCCACTTTGCTTGATATTCTGTTGATTTCAGTTGGATAGATTGTTAGCTAGTTCTGGGGAACAATTTCTAATCATTTATTTTTGTAGGAGGAAATGATGAGAGGGAAACCTGGGTATGAGCATCTGAATGAACCTCTCCACATTCTAGTTGAGGCTGAATTACCTGTTGAAATAGTAGATGCTCGCTTGTTGCAGGCACGTGAAATACTTGAAGATTTGCTCAAACCAGTGGTATGTTCTTCTGAATTCAATCGAGATTGGTAGTTTTACACAGCTTTATAGGGACATTGTTCTAATTGTTTGACGTTTTATCTTTCAGGATGAATCTCAGGATTTCTACAAGAAGCAACAACTTCGGGAACTAGCAATGCTGAACGGCACTCTTCGTGAGGAGGGTTCTCCCATGTCTGGTTCTGTTTCACCCTTCCACAACAGCCTTGGTATGAAGAGGGCCAAGACCAGGGGGTAGATTGTCCTAAAGGGTGAGAGGGCTTTTGGAGCTTGTGTTAATTTTCTACATCAGCACTTACCATGCCACGGTGATGCTGACAAAGAATATGCCCTGAACTGCCATCGGGGCACTGGCACCATAGTGCCAGTTCTAACTTGTTCTATGTGCAGTGTGTTTACATTGAGTTTGGGGGAGGTTTAAAGATGGTAGCACGTAGTAAAGGTCCAATTGAGTTTGATGAATTTGCTTTTTTAGTGTTGGTTGGGCAGGTTGGTTAGATATTCACCAAATCTGTCTATATTATTATTATTATAATATTTGGGGTTATATTTAAGTTTGCAATGACAGTTTTGTAATGGTTTTGGAATTCTGTGAGGAAGATAATGTTATGGTTTGTATTCAGAGATAATAACTACTTCAATGCGTGTATGGCTGACATTTTGCACCATCTAATGTAGATTATAAATTTGTGGAAGTGCCTTTTTTGGGGGTCAAATAGTTTTCATACAATTGCTACTTGTCTTTACTTTTCGTGCGATTCTTTTACAGAAATAACGTGTACCCAATAGGATAGTATTTCATTGTGAAGATCTTGTCGACAGTAAGAAATTATTTGCCATTTATTAGTATTTTTTTTTAATTTAATAGAAAAAATAGGGCTGTAATTGGTGGTCTGGTCTAGTGACAAAATGATGTCCAAATTAATTGAAAGGGCACTCACCTCCCATGAGGTGTATTTAAATGATGCATTCTTTTCCAATTTTTAAAAATTACTTACTTTTCTTAGAATAAGGTTATTAGTTAAAGTGAGAGAAAAAAATTAAATTTTTTTTTATGAATTATATATATGTTTATTTTTTCTGTTTTTAATTACATTTGCTTCTAAATTACATATAATATTTTTCTTGTGAAAATTTTTCATTATTATTTAATTTTTGAAATAGTTATTTTTTAGTTTGATCTTTCAAATTATTTTTTGAAAATGATTTAAGAGTTAAACTTGAATAGGAGGTTAATTTCTATTCAATTGTTGATATTTGTATTTATAATTTGTTTTTTTTAATAGTATACAAATAGTGTTATCTTGTATAAAGAATTATGTGTCACTTAAATAAATAAAAGAGATTAGTATTTATTTAAAAATTATAGAATAAATATATTATTTAAAAAGAATTTAAGAGAGGACAATACAATTTTTTTAATTTAAAAAAGTACAAGTTAAATTAGATTGGTTTTGGTGATGTAACATTAGCTATTTTCATTCTTTGCAAAACTAATTTCTTATTAAAATATATTTAAATTATGCGTATAAGGTATTTAAATTCAATTAAATATTCATTTTTATATTTCTTATTAAAATAGAAAGAATGTCTTATTAATGAAAATGTAAGAAAAGATTTGAATATAAATATATATTTATATATAATGAGATAAAAAGTATAGTTGTCAAAACGAGTAGCCAGGCCCATACCACCTTGACTCATTTTAAAAATGGGTCAATATTAAGTTTCAATTATACTTCTTTTTAGATAAGAATTATTGAACAATTTCACTCATCTCATGCACTCTTGCAATATAATTATTCTCTTTTGATTTAATTTTGTGTAGATATAGCTAACCCAAAAATCATCTGACAATACCTTGATACACCTCATTTTTTGTGCAGGTATTGAGTTGAAGAGTTGAGGTTGAAGACCCATTGGATTGAAAATTAAAGGAGCTAAAAAGCAGGAGAAGAGTACCCGCGCCGAGCTTATACAAGACAGAGAGTCTCAAACTATGCACTTTAGTAGTGCGTCAGGCGCAAGAGCATCCATGCCGGGCGTGACTCACGATAGAGAGCATTTGAACTCTCTGGAAGACACGCGCCGGGCGCAATAGTGTCCGTGTTGGGCGTGAATTGAGACAAAGAGCTCTTTGGGAGACCCTACGTCGGGCGTGAAGTATAACACGCTGGGCGTGCAAACCCTATCCTGGCTCACCCAGCTCGTATTTGATTAAACCTTCAAGGCTTTCTTCCTCATTCACGCATTAGGTGACTTCTAGGAGCTGTACGTGGAAGGGATTTCCAGTGCTTGGGACTGTTCGTGTGTGGGTCTTTCCTTCGGTTCTTCCATCTTCTCTTCCATCTCTATTTTTGTTTCACCCTCATTGTTTTGAGGTTCTACCCATTATTTTGTGGGTTTAGATGTAACAAACGTAACTCTTATGTAATCTTCACCTTATCAATGATATATATGTTGTTTCATTCATTCTTGTGTTATGTTTCTATTCTTAATGTTTGTTTTGGATTGATTCTCCTTTGCTTGATATAGAGTCCATGGAGTATTAGAAAATAGCCTTTGAAACTAGCTTCTTTAAATAAAGGGAGGTAAAATAACATATATAATATCTACAATTACCAAAAAGAGTACCAAAAGTTGAGTGTAAATCATACATAAAAGACACTCAACAATACTCAAGGGATTGATATTCACTATATGCACCTAGGCTCTTGCTCTAAGGGATTAGGTTTGAGTAAATTTATGGGTTGACTAGGCAATGAATGTAATAAGAGAACAATGATTCATCAGAGTAAAGTTCGGTGATATCTGACCCCACAATCTTACAAATTTACAATACCATTCTCTATCCCTTCCACACACACAAAAATAGTTTATAGTTTTAAAATTCCAACAAGTCATACCTTTACTTCAATTGCATGACAATCTATGAAAAATTAGAATTATTCTTTAGTCACAAATACTCATTAAATGTTTGTTTTACCTAACTAGTCCTTGTGGATACAATTTAAATTTAGTACTTGTACTACCGATATACTTGTGTTTGAGTTCGTTGTTAGCATTCAAATGATTTATAACAAGAACAAAAGTTAATTTCAACATAATTCTTAACAGTCAACCTGGCCCGACCCACTTTTAATTTTCTCAAAATTTTTATGGCCCAGCCCAGCCCATCATGGGTTGGTGGGTTATACAGGCCAGTCCATCAACCCACCAAAATTTTTTTAAAAAAAATCATCAATAAAATTCAAATTTTCAAATTAACTATATATTAACATAATAATCATAAAATTAGCATCAATAATAGTCATAAGTTATAACTCATCATACAAAATTAAATACAAATTAAGACAAAAGTCCAAAATAAAAAATTTTAAAGTCCCATTATACACAATTAATTATGAATCATAATCAAATTTTAATTTTTTAAAAAAAATTGGCTGGTAGGCTGCTTGGCCCACCACGGGTTCAACCCAGGTGGGCCGGGTGAAAGTGAGCTGGGTTGAAATATACCCACTTACTATAAAATTTTTATTTATTTTGGCTCGGTCCGGTCTGTTTTCAAGGTGAAACGGGTTAGCCCACAGACCACGACCCATTTTGACAACTCTAATAAAAAGTAATTGGTGAAAATTCATAATCTTTAATTAATTGATGTGACTTAGGATCAAGAACTTATAAGTTCACATAAGTTTTCTTTTAAAACTATTTATATAATTTTTTGGGAAAAGAGTAATCAACCATCGTAAATATTACTATTTACATATAGGTATCACAAAATTTTATTTTATTCTAATCTGTAACACCTCGATTTTCACAGATTATACGAAAACTCAAAGCCCAATAAGGGTGATTTAGTAGCCTAGAACTGGCCGTTCCCAAACTGGAACAGGTCATTCAAAACTACTAAAAATGCCTATAATCCTAGTTGGGAACGGGCCGTTCTGGTTTAAGAACGGGCCATTTCAAACTTGGTCGTTATGTGTTAAAATGCAACCCTAGAACGGGTCGTTTTGGTTTAAGAACGGGTCGTTCTAGATGTGAATTTTACACATGATGAAGGGATCCAAAACAAGTCGTTCCGGATCTGAAATGGGTCATTCTGGTCACTTTTGACATTTATAAATAGCAGACTCTAGCACTGCTTCTGGACACACTCTCTGAAGACCAAGGAGAACCAAGAGAAAAAAATCAACCAGATTTTACTCTAGCTTCGTCTTCTGCTTATCTAGGTAAGGGGGTGTGAGAAACCTCACTCGGGGGTGTGAGAATAATTGTTGGGTAGTAAGATTGATCCCCAATCCCTTGCCTGATGCATGCTTCTAGGAACAGACAAAATATGAATATTTTATGTTTTGCCTTCTGATTGTTTTGTTGTGTTCCTTGTTGGATGTGATGTGTGAATATGTGATTAATTTTGAGAATAAATATATTTTGATATGAATTAGAGTGTTGTATGGGTTCCTATGGAAAACTCTATGAGAAACAAACAAATTTTAGATGTTTTATATTTTGACTTTTGAGTATTCTATTGTGTTTCTTGCTAAATGTTGAGCATGAATGTATATTTAATTTTGAATTTGAACATGTTTTGATATGAATTAGTGTGTTCTGTGAGTTCCTGTGCAAAACCCTATGAGGAACAATTATGAATATGATTATGAGGCAATGTGAAAAGTGAATATGACATGATGATGATAAGAATCTCCAAATGATAAACTTATGAGTATGACTGTGTGAAATATGAACAAATGACATGAGACATGATGTGATGGCGTGCTATTGTGAGCATTATGACTATGAGAATGTGAAACGTGATGAAATGAGATAAGACATGAAATGCCATGACAACTAAAGTGATGAGTCCATGAGTTTGTGAATGTGTGACATGCATCATATGCATCTATGTGAAGGGTACGATATGGAGTACACCGTTAGGGAAGACCCTCCGAGTGTGAAACATCTTGGAGGAGTCCTAGTGCGGTTTCGAAGGCCCGGTTCTGCCCGTTTGTGTGCATGGGACGTATCTTGCGCAGTTTCACTATCCCGACGAGACCCTATCAGTACATCCTTCTAGTTGAGAGTGCACGGTTGATCTGGCATGTACTCCTAGACTGCTCTATGTGTATTGCTAGCAGCAATGCATAATGTGATATGTGACTGGCGCCACATGCATGCATTTGTGAGTCGAGTCCATGGCATCATTGCATAATGAGTGACTATGTATGTGCTACTAATGTATGTATGACTTGAGTTGTGCTTGATTAACGTGTATTTTGTGTTGTGCTTTGTTATGATTTTTGTGTGTTCTGCCTGACCGTTATTTTTACACCTGAACCTGAGTGAGATGTTTCTCACTCCCTTGTTGTTTTTTGTATGTGTTTAAATTGTGTTGCAGGTGATCATCAGCATGAGGATGTTGGTGATGAGGCTTAGGCTTCAGTTGGGCATGCTCTGATAGAATATATGACATTGGAGCATAGCTAAGCTTAGTTTAGGATGCTATTTCCATTAAACTATTTGAAAACTTAATTTTATTTCTTTATAATTTCACTGACATGTTATTTGGATTAAGTTTATGAATGTGAACTCTTTACCCTTATGTGGTCTGAGATTTATTTTTTTAAAGATGAAGAATTTTATTTTTATAATTACTGTATATATATGTTGGGGTAGAGGGTGTCACATAATC